GTCCGAACCCCCTTGACGGGGGGCGGGTTCCCCTTTTTTGGACTTCCCAAAATCCCCCGGGGCTTTTCCCCTTTAATTTTGGAGGACCTTTTTCGGGGGAAACCCGGGGGTTTCCCCCCCCGTTTTTTGGGGGTGGGGGGTTAATGGGTGAAAGGTTTCGGCCTCCCCGGTTTGGGGTCCCCCCCCCCCCCCCCCCCCCCCATGCACAGCAGTCCGTTTGTGGTGTGGTAGCTTTCGCCCCCTCCTGCACGTTTTTTTGTTTTTTTCGTCGGGTTTAAGTTTTTTTGCCATGAATCGGTGCTGCGGCTCCGAACCGGAACCGATTCGATCGCCCTCCAATCACGCTGTGCGTGTCAGAGGGGTGCTGAAGAAACAGGTTGTGATGCACGTTCTCTTGTGTAACTTTTTTTGTTTATTTGTGGGTTATGCCGCACCGCTACTGCCGTGTGCTGCATGCGCTGCCGCGTGTACAGCAACGGTTGGATAGACAACCATGCGACAGATGGAGTTTCGTAAAGAAATGGAGACAAAAGCTGGAATGAAGATGTACTGCTACTGTCGCAGTTCCCCCAAAACGATCACCGAGAGCTTGTTCTCCCTACTTTTTTCTGACAAACCAAATAGTAAGCCAATCTCGCGTCGATGGACGGCATGCATGCATGCATCTTTCGGACACCGCATGATTTGCGCCAACCGCCACCATCACAAATGCTCTTGATCCAATCTTGCGGCACCCGAAAACGACAGGAGGAGGCGGAGGAGGAGTTGGACGAGAGCGTGGATGTCGAGGGACACAACAGCAACAACAAAAACGTCGGTATTTCGTCGTCGCTCCTGCACGGCGGCACCGCCGGTACGTGGAGCAAGCGGCGGCCGGCCAAAAGCCACCGGCCTTCCCCGACGAAGGCGTCCAAGGCCGCCGCCATTGCCGCCGCCGGCGGCGCGGCCGACGCCCGCGCGCTCGCGTGGGAGGCCGCGGCGGCGAAGGCTGCCGCGGGAGAGGAGGGCGAGGAGGCTGCTGCTGATGGTGTAGTGGGCGGTGGGTCCGGGACGAAGCGTCACCGGAGCGAGAGCGTTAGCAGCAGCAGCAACGACGCGTCGCTCGGCAAGACCATCAAGAGCCTCAAGCGCACGGGCGGGTCGTCTCAGACCACACGGATTAGTCCTACTTCAGTGGCGGATGTCAAGTGAGAAGAAGGAGACGGGGGGGGGGAGGGGTACGCTGAATTTCGTGTTTGCATGCATATTTTGACTCCAAACCGAGGATCATGTATTGCAAGTAGAAAGAGATCCGAGGATAAAATGATTTGTTCCAATTTTTTTTTACCTCGTCCGGTCTGATGAGAGTTTGGAGGTCTGTCGGTCTTTCGCCGCTGCTGACGCGTGTCGTCTTCCATGACGTACCCCTCCGTCGCTGCGACTCTCGCTCACTTGACTTTTGCCACGAACTGCTGCTGTCTAAAACATGCGGTTGCCCGCGTCGTCTGTGGAGTTGACAAGGGGAATGCCGATGTCGTATAAAAGGCGCATACACATGCCCCGTCGTCGAAGACGGCCATTTGTCGTCTGGATATCCAGTCCACGTCGCTTTCTGCATGCATGACAGAAGGCCTCTTTCTGCCACCGTACCGTAATGAATTTTACCCCCCGTTACACCCGTCGATCGGGAGTCTAGACCTTCCTCCTTCGCTCCCAGAAAAGGCGGCAGCTGCTGGAGTACCATGATATTTGTTTTTTGACGGAGAGGATAGGCGTTAACCCCCCCCCCCCTTTTCTCCCCGACGTAACTCCCTTGCTACTACACTACAGCAGCTTCATGTCGTTCCCGGTGCCGCAAACGGAGCGCTCGGACATGGCGATGCACCACCTACCGCAGCAGTTGGCCCCCTCCTGGTGCACCAAGCCCCAGGACACCTGGATGGCCGGGGCAGGGCTGGACATGGGGGGTCTCGAGGCGGACGACGCGGGGCCCTTCCGGTGGTTCATCGACGAGCGTTCGCTTTCCGCACCAGGTGAGAGAGAGCACTGGACGGGGGGGGCGCCGCCTATTGAAGCAGGGGGGGGTGGGGTGGGGTGTTATAAACCTAGGCGGACGGGGGGCATCGCGTACTAACGCACGGGGGGGGGGGGGGGGGGGGGGGTCCAAACCCAAAACTTTGGTGGGCAAAAAAAGGGGGAAACCCCCCAG